CTTGGGTTGTTTCCACATCTTTGCAATTGTGAATTATGCTGCTATAACATTTGAGTGCAGATGTCTCATAATGTATGCTATAATGAATTGTATCATAATATAAATTTAAGAATAAAATTTGATGCATTTTTGTATATATACACACATTTCCCATATGCACTATCAAGCATATCCTGATATAGAAAATGTTTCATTGCTCGTTTTTGGTTAATATCATTCTCTAAGCAGGGGTCCCCAACCTATGGTGAGTTGTATAATTATTTCATTATATAGTACAATGTAATAATAATAGAAATAAAGTGCATGATAAATGTAATGCACTGGAGTCATCCCAAAGCCACCTCCCCACCTCCCACCCTGGTCCATGAAAAAATTGTCTTCCATGAAAACAGTCCCTAGTGCAAAAAAGGTTGGAGACCACTGCAGAGATAACCATCATTCTAGCTTCAGAAGATCTTGCCAATTGTTTCCCAAAATGTTTTTTTTTTTAATTTACAGTCTCATCAGCAATATAAGAGAATTCCAGATACTATACATCTTTGACAATACTTCATTTTCAGACCATTATATTTTGACCATTCTTGTGAGCATGTAGTAATATCTGATTATTGTTTTAATTTGGTTTTTACCTGATGAGTAATAATTTTGTGCACCATTTTACATGATTATTGGTCATCTATACATCTCCTTTTTTTTGAAATGCCTGCTCAAGCATTCTCCATTTTTAAGTGGGTTTGTAATATTTTAGCACTGTTTTGTAGGAGCTCTTTACATACGTGGATACAGATATTTTGTCAAATATTTGTTTTGAAAATATTTTCTTCCAGCATGTGGTTTGTTTTCACTTAGGTGTATTTATAATGAACAGAATTTCTTAATATAATAAGATCAAATTTATTCATGCTTTTATTTTATGATTAATGCTTTTACTTTTGTCCCCATTAAGAAACTTTTGACTATCTCTCTTATTCTTAATTTCCTTGGTCCCTTTTGAATTTGTTCCATTTTTATTGTGTATCCTAAATTGAAAAACAGTTATTAATTTGAATATTTAATTCTCATTAACTCAACTGGAAGCTATAAAATTGCACATAAACAGGTTTAATGATGTCGCACTGCCTATTTTGTTTTGCCAGAGCTTTCTTCAGTTGTGGGACCAAAGTTCCCATGATGCATTTTCCCTAGACCAGGTGACAGCTTTTCCTCAGGAGGAAATTTATTCTGGAACTGTTCTCTTCATTTCAGCACAAATCAATACAATCCAACAACTAGAGGTATAATAATATGACAAAACTGTGTTAAACTGTGAGTGTTACTTTCTCCAAATAGTTATATTGATCGTTCCTCTTTAGATATACAAAGTCTTTCTTCAGACTGTGGTATCATTAACCATTTAGGGGGTAAAATGGTTATGTGGAAATCCTGTTTTACTCAGTCAAACTAAATAGTATAGAACTCCAATGGTAACACCAAGATATATCCACCCAGCTCTATTTGCTGTGAAAGTACAACACCACACTTGAATTGAGTGAAATAATTGGTCATAGTATCTGGCTGAACAAACTCATCTGTATGTTCAGTAAACAAGTCTGAGTTTTTAGAATATGTTATGATAATTCTTTTAAAAATAGAATTTGGATTTGGCACTATTCACTAGTTTTTTTTAATCCAGATACAGATAAATTAGAAGTGATTAAGTTCAAGATTCTACAACAGGGCATTTAAAAATCAAAATAAATAGAGGTGGTGGTTCAACCATGATAATTAAACTCTTTAGAGACACATGATCAGAACTTTCAAGACACTCTCTATTACAGCAAAGAGAATAGTTGTTAGTGAGTATGGGGAAGTAGAATGCCTGGCATTCAGTAAAACAGGGTTCTAGTCTGGGCTCTACTGCTCATGCCATTTTTGATCCTTGGCAAATCATTTCACTTTTTGGAGGTGCTTTCTCATTCAAGTAGTATTAGGGTAAGCACTATGTACTTTATAGTACCTCCCAGCTCCACAATTCTATCATATTATTCCCTGGTAATATTAATTTGATAAACTCAAACAAAAGATATCCATTTTCTTTTCAGTACTGAAAAATATTATTTTTTTGAAAAAATAACACTTAATTACATGTTTTCCCTAAGCGAATACTTATTTGAAGTACCAACAATAAAAGGCCCACTCTTGCCAGTTGGTTGTTAAATGAAGGCTAACATTGCAAGAGACTTGGTTAGGGAGTATGAAGCTGCAGGGTAGCCATACCCTTCGATATGGATGACTTCACATGTGATGACAATGATTTTTAAATTTACTTGGTGAATTGCAGACTATTTCAATATGCTGATATTACTGAACAACATAATGTCATACCATGATTGACCAGGAAGAAAAGATTCACAAAAACAAGTAAATTTTCAGTGTATATTCAGAGATATTTTGTTTTATCAGTACATTTTTACTATTAAAGAGCCCAAATAAACATAAATTTTGAACAACACATAAAAGTACTTATTCTTCCTGTTGTTCTCAATTTAGATATTATAATTTATGCATCTGATATTTTAGTGCTTAAATTAAATACAATGTCATCTAGCTAAAAGACTGAAATAAAAAGATATGGTTGTATGGTCCAGTGTTAGAGAAAGAAGCTGCTTTTAAATTGAATGTTATGTTTTGTCTGCTTTGTCAGAGATCAAATAACAATATAAGAATGGTTTTATATCTGGATTCTCAATTCTGTTCCATTGATCAAAGCAGACAAAAACATACACTTGTTGAATAGAATACCTATTCAATAAATGGCAATGGGAAAATTGGACAGCCAGATGTTGAAAACTGAAATAGGATCCTTACCTCTCACAAAAAATCAGCTAATGATGGATAACAGACTTAAAAATAAGGCAGAAAACAATAAGATTCTAGAAGAAAATATAGAAAAATCTTACAGACATAAGCCTAAGCAAAGAATTTATGAAGAAGAACCCGAAAGCAATCACAGCAACAACAAATAAATAAATGGAATCTGATCAAATTAAAAAGCTTCTGCACAGCCAAGGAAACTATCAGTAGAGTGAACAGACAACATACAGGATAGGAGAAAATATTTGCATGCTACACATCCAATAAAGGGCTGATAACTAGAATCTATAGAACTCAAGAAAATCAGCAAGAAGAAACAAACAACCTATCAAAAAGTGAGCAAGAGACATGATCAGAAACTTTTCAAAAGAAGACAGATAACAAACATATGAAGAATTCCTCAACATCTTTAATCATCAAAGAAATCCAATCAAAGTCACAATGAAATATCATTTAACTCCAGGGAATGGCTTTTATCAAAAGTTCCCCAAAACTAAATGTTGGCACAGATGTAGAAAGATAGGAACACTCATGCACTGCTGGTGGGACTGCAAACTGGTCAACCTCTATGGCAAATAATATGGACATTCTATAAAAAAGACATCTGCACTCAAATGTTTATAGCAGCATAATTCACAATTGCAAAGATGTGGAAACAACCCAAGTGTCTGTCAATAAATGAGTGGATTAATAAAATGTGGTATATGTATACCATGGAGTAGTAATCAGGCACAAAAAACAATGATGAACTAATACCTCTTGTATTATCCTGGATGAAGCTGGAACCCATTCTACTAAGTGAAGTATAACAAGAATGGAAAAATAAGCACCACATGTATTCACCATTAAACTGGTTTTAACTGATCAACACTTATGTGCACGTATAGTAGTAACATTTTTAGGGCATTGGGCAGGTGGGAGGGCAGAGGAGGGGATAGGTAAATTCACACTTGATGGGTACGATGCCCATTTTCTGGGGGTTGGGCATGCTTATGGCTTTGATTTGGGTAGTGCAAAGGCAATGTATGCAACCAAAGTGTTTGTACCCCTATAATATGCTGAGGTTAAATAAAAGGAGTATTGTGGTTTACATATGTGTATATACATACAACTGACCATTGAACAACTTGGGCTTAAACTGAGGGGACTTCACTTACACTTGAATTTTCTTCCACTTTGGCCACCCCTGACACAGCAAGACCTACCCCCTTCCCCTTCCTCCTCCTTGTCAGCCTTTTCAATGTGAAGACTGTAAGGATAAAGACCTTTATAATGATCTACTTCCACTTAATGAACAAGTAAATATGTTTTTTTCTTATGATTTTCTTAATAATATTTTCTTTTCTCTAGCTTACTTTATGGTAAAAATACATATAACATGCAAAATGTGTGTTAACTATGTTGTCAGTGAGGCACTGCCAGTCATCAGTAGGTCATTAGTGGTTGAGTTTTTAGATAGTCAAAAGTTATATGTGACCCCTGTCTCTACAGAAAATAGAAACATTAGCCAGGTGTGGTGGCACATGCCTGTAGTCCCAGTTACTTGGGAGGCTGAGGGAGGAGGACACTTGAGCCCAGAATTTTGAAGTTGTAGTAAGCTATAATGAAGCCACTGCACTCTAGCCCTATCTCAAAAAATAAATAAATAAATAAAAGTTTTATGTGGATTTTTCAACTGCATAGCGGTTGCTGCCCCTAAACCCCATAAGCCCATGTTGTTCAAGAATCACAAACACACACACACACACACACACACACACACACAAATACAGCTATATGGGTGGGTGTATGTATACACATAATTATTACATTATATGTGGCAGATAGCACATATAGTGGCTTATTTTCTTCATTGTCAATTAAAACTAATCACTTTGACATTTTGAGTTAAATAAAAAACAAAGTATGTTGTTTTAAGTTAGGAAAATTTATTGCAGAAGGAACATAGTAATCTCACAGCACAAATAAAAGACATCAGGAGATATGAAGCAAATAATTGTGGAATGATAAATATTCTTAAAATCTTAGATGCTAAATGCTCTTGATCTTGGCTTGGTCCAGGGTGATCTTTTCTGTTTGAGTTATTTGCAGTTAAATCTGGGTAATCTTCTCATGGCCTCAGATATTGGGCTCCCAGGGCAGGATATTCAGTAAAAGCTAGAGAATCCATACCCTCCACAGCAGGATGGGCGGTAGCAGCCACATCCGTAGCCTCCATACCCAGAGCCGAACCCGTAGCCTCCATAGCCACAGCCGTAGCCCAGCCTGCGGAAGCCACATCCACAGCCGTAGCCGTAGCCCAGGCCACCAAAGCCTCCATAGCCGTAGCCCAGGCCTCCGTAGTAGCTGCCGTAGTAGCTCATGGCGTCAGGGGTGGTGAGTGGGTTTGCTGTTCAAAGCAAGATCTTGAATATGAATGGCAGCTTGTACAGAGGATGCTTATATACCCTGGTCGGAGCATGATTTATCACATGTAGAGCCTCCTGATTTATCACATGCGTACCTGATTTATCACGTGTATACCCTCCCTTTGAGTTAGTCTTTGTGTTACCTTTCATGGTACAACTCATTAATTTACTGTCTCCTGCGACTGAGACGTCCTCACTCTCATTAAAATATTTCAGCTTACTTAACGTCCTATTTAGGATGCCCATGAACTTACTGCTTTGCTTTTATGAGACGAAATAGCTGACTTTTCAAAATAAGTGCATTCCAAACGCTACATAGAATTGCCTATTACCGGGTGTATTACATCATCTATATTTAATGGCATTCCTCTTGCAATTAAACATTTTCTCTGTTCTGTCAACCTCCAAATTGGTAACTTCATATCCAAATAAATGTATAGCTATTTATTCAATTTACAGGTCTTAAATCTACATTTTCTTAAAAAGCAAATGTATTTTCAAGGTGAGGGCTTAAAAAAGTGCCTATATTCGGGATACAGAAAACATTTGAAATGAAAAAAAAAAAAGCATAAATGACCTGCTGTGTACAATAGTCAAGGAACTCAGAAGATGAGAACACATGTTGATATTTAGCACTTTCATCATAATAACCTTTATAATATTTCTGACTTTATGGAACAGCTTCAGAATCTTTTGGTTGCAAAACATGTAGCAATTAATTTCAGAAATGGAGAGCACAAAATCCATCTCCTATACGGACTTATCAGAATAGCAGTTCAGGTTCCTTTCAAATGCTAAAACTCTCCTTCATAATTGATTCTACTCAAAGACTCACCAAAATGGCATCTCGCCTCTGTTTTTTGCATACTCCAGGCAATATCCTCCATTCTTTACCCTTCTTCAGTAGTGTATATACAGCCTCTATTTTCATTCTCATTTCAGCTTTCACTCTTCTTTGCATTCTCTCAATAGGAACAGCCAAGCGGAAGATTGAAGTTGTCAATATTTTTCTCCTTTGGGCATCCATTTCCTTCTCCCAGTCAATGAGTCTTTGTTTCTGCCTTCTCTTTACTTTCACGATAGGATATCTTACCCTTTGCTTTTCCATTTCTATTTTGGAGTCATTTATCCAGAGGCAATTTCTAACTAGTCCCTAACTGGTAACTCATCTATTAATAGTTCACTAAAGTACTATTTTTAAAAGCATACACCATCTCCTAGGGCTTTCTGCAATGTTAAAAGGGTATCTTAAAACTGAGCTTGTCTTAAAGTTTTCAAAAAGAAGGCACAAGGATGAAAATGACACAGAATCGAGAAATATATGTGAGGAAATTTGTCTTGGGCTTCTTGGAGTTCCTCAGGGTACTTCTTTGAGCTGGTCAAATGGATCCAACTTAACTCTACATTTATTAATCTCCATGTAGCACCTGTCTCTTGACTTGGACCACTGATAACTTGTTGAATTAATTTATAGGACTTTGAACATGCTGCAGAATTTTTGTGAGAGTTACAATTATTATATAAAGATAAATTTCCTAAATAGAATGTTTCATTTTTTCTAAACAGCAACTAGGGAATTAAATATTCTTTATCAAACTAATGAAAATATTCAAAGTAAATTGACAGTAACTATCATAGCTTCCACAATCTGTGCAACACTCTGACTACCCCTTAGCAAGGTACCTTTTTAAGGCAGAAAGAAAATGGTATAATATGCCTTTTGATTTGTAGAGTAGCATTTAACCCAATATTTGCCATATTGCTTTTACTCAAATATTGTTTCATTCTTATTTCTCATCTAAAATGAAATAGTAGATAAGTTGAATTTTCAATTCTCAGTGAGTCCTTTTGAAGGCATAGAATCACAACTGAAACTGTATTAAGGATATCACATTTTGCCCATGTAACTCAGCCAGATAATGCAAGAGTGATTGGTAGCTAATTTTTTGCTTGTTCAGGATGCGTCCACCTGGGATATAAAACCAAGGAAGACATACATGGAAAACCTCAATAGTCAAATAAGAACCAGAATTTATTTTTAAGAAATAAAGCACATCATAATTTTTCATACAGTGATTGTGACATATAAAAATTACATAGATCTATATATTGTTCTATAAAAATATATGGAACAAATATTTTGTCTTTTTTTTTCTAAGTGAAAAAATAATAAGATGAAAATATCCATTGTAAAATGAGGACATATATTTCCTTGTAGTGGTATTGGTTTTATGCCCAAAATAGATTGCTAGACTCAAAGTATATCAAACCCAAAGTAAATTGAACAATGATCTTTTTTATTTTCTCCTTCCTTTCACTTTTAAAAAGTTTACTATAGACTATGTCTTGAATAACCCTATGATAACGAGTAGGGAAGAAGAAAACACGTTCTTCTTTGGAGTAATAACTTTTATCTGTAAATAAAGAAAACGTTTGTTATAAATTCCAAAAATTTCCCTTAAGACAGACACAAATCAATAATATATGAAAAGGCAGGTTAGAAAAAATATGTTAATATTGTATTGCACTGGGATACCACATGTGCTTTTTCCTTATTATAATTATATTGACAATTCTTTTGGGCGGGCAACTTTGTAACACTTTCCTTAGGCTCTGTAGATACTGACTTGAATATGAACAGAATAATTTCAAATGAAATTCAATTATGTGGGTCAAATTTCCTTTAATGGAGTTACCAAACTTTATCTACTTTGCCCTCCTCTGTGAAGATACAACATCTGAAAGAAGAAATGACAAGAACTGGATAAGTTTCATTTTTTCTTACTAATATCTTCATGTCATATAAACAAATCCAAGTCTTTCTAATAAAAACACATGATCTTGAGAACTGAGTTTTAACGTTATTTATTTTTCATTTGCCTTCAAGTACAGCTAAATTAGCAATAGAGAAATAGATTATATAAAATGAAATAAAAATTTAAGAAGACAAACGTAAAAATTAACAACAAAAGGTAGTTAATCTGAGACGAAGTTAATCCCCATAAACTCTGTGACATATAGTTGAAGCCATTCTTGGGAGTATTACAAGAACTTTCCAGATGGCATTAAAATTTGGAAGTATGCCTCAGTTGCAACGTTTGGGGGATGGTCACGCTTGAAGCTCTGACTCAAGGGGGGTGGAGTCATGGGCAATATACGTAACCTTAAGATTTGTACCCCCATAATATTCTGAAATAAAAAATAATAATAAAAATAAATAAATAAAACAAAAATTAAAAAAAAATTGGAAGTATGCAATGAGAATCAGAATGGTGGCGCAGCGCATGAGAAATCCATGAACTACTTTCTGGTCTTGATTCTTACTGTTAATGTTGGTTGAGAGTTTAGGCAAGTCACTTAACTGGCATTTCCTAGCCTGTACGATGGGGGCAGCCTGTACAATCTGTAATGTTAGGCCAACTCTTCTGTTATTGTCCTTGTGTTTGTACTGAATTTCACCAAGGCAAACAAACGAACAACAAACCTCTGCACTTTATACCATTACCTGAACATACCATTCAATTTTGGAAAAAGCAATACATTTTTAGATCTTTTATGTATTCTTTCATGTGAAATACCAGCAGTACAATGCTTGCTTTTTGGTGAGTGAAATTGGTTGAAAATCTCTTTCACAACAAACAAACAAACAAACACCTCTTTTGAATGAATATTCTCATTAAGTAAAGCTGCAGAATGGGGAGGGAGCTGTTTCTTGATATTTGGGTGTTTATGTTCAGCTTACAGTTGTAAAAGTCTTTAATGTCATGAGGACAATGATGAAAGTAAAAAAGAGTATCATTGCATGCCACAGAGGAACTCTGACGTAAAAAACTAATTAAACCAACCAACAAATTAAATACTATACATATTTTAATTACCTAATTTGAAATACTTTTAATAACTTTATAACACAACAAGTTGCATGAAAATGCCAAGTAAAATGACAGGCAATAGAGAATAGGTCAAGAAAGATTATATTTAACCAAGAAATTCATTAAAAATATTTTTTTCTTTTCTGGAAGTTTAGAGAAATATTTTAGTTTACTACTGTTCATTTTTTACCACATAAGAGCTGAATAAGTAACAAATTTTGAAAGGAGCGAGGTATTATTTATGTATTTTGGATTGTATTCATAAATATAATTGTATAAAATTCAAAACTTATGAATCCTTTTTATTTATGAGCATACATATACAGTTAAAATGATGGAGTTGATTTTTTTATTGTTGTTAAGTTTAAATCTAAAGATTATCTAATTAAAAGCTAGGAAATTAAAATCATCACATATATTTGAGGGATTATTATTCAGTTTAATCTAAATTTATTGTCATTTTGATATGTCTGTATATATCAATCAGTGTGTCTATGAAATGCACATTTCATACACAAAGTATATTAATTTCCACATTGGAAGTTGGGTAGTGTATATAATTAGCAACGTGTATAATTGAGTCAAATAAATTAAACAAAAGCTATATTTGCTGTGTCTCAAATTAAGAGAGATATGATGAACACAAATTTGTGTAATTATAAATGTACTAGAAGTCTTAGGTGCTAATTATTTTGAACAAATAGACCCAGAATAATGTAGGTAGGCCCAATGATTAAAATCAGATTTAGCAAATTCACTCATGGAACCAGATAGCAGATTTATAGGGAAGAATTTTAATAAGAACTAGGGAATCCATGTTTTCCGTAACAAGATGGGTGGCAGTAACTGTATCCGTAAGCCTCCATAGCCAGAGCCGTAGCCGGACTACAGAAGCTGCCACATCTGTAGCCATAGAGAGAGCCCAGACCACTGAAGCCTCCACAGAAGTATCTCAGGCCCCATAATAATTACTGCAGTAACTCATAGGGTCAGGAGTTATGTTTCTTGAGTATGAATCTTGACACTTGTGCAGAGGTTTTATACCCTAAGTTATGGCTGTGGTAAATCATTCGGAGACTTACC